TGTCCCTGCCCATGGCAGGGAGTGGGACTGGATGAGCTTTAAGGTCCTTTCCAACCCAAACCATTCCAGGATTCTGTGACAGGCCACCATTTATGTGCTGTGTGTGACTTGCTTGGAAAAGATTGACATGGGCCTGGACTGGAGATGAAGGGATGGATATTGCTGAGATACCAGGAAAAATAAACAGTTCTTGGAAGTTACAGTCACAATTTCAGAGGAACAGAAGCGGTAAACAGAAGGGGTGTGTAGTGATAGGATAAGGGGAAACAGCCTTAAACTGAAAGGAGGTGGGTTTGGATTAGATCTTGGAGGAATTTCTGCTCATCACTTCTCTTTTAAGTCCCTGTATTGTTTGTTCATCCAAAGGGAGCACTGGAGAGCGTGGCACAGGAGCAGAGCTGTGCCCTGGGATGAAAACACGGTGGTGGCCTGATCACCCTCTGACTGGGTGAGTCTGACTTTCCATTTGCAGCTGGTGAGCTGAACAGCATCCAGCTAGGAGAAGGGAAATCATTCCTGCAAAAGCTATTCCAGTCTCTCCTGTCTCAGTTGCCAACAGTGGTGAGGAAAGTGGGTCACCTTGTGCTTCAGGGTTACAGCAGGATCAAAGGAGTGTGTGGTTCCCTGGGAGCTGTGTGGGGAGGATGGGTGTGGGCAGCCCAGTGCTCGGGGTTCCACTAACTGAGAGAGAAATCCTTCACCGCTCTCCAGGGAATATTTGGATGTGGAGGGTGCCTGGTGCTGCTGAAACAGTGCTGCTTTGCTGGGAGCTGCTGGTTGAGGAAGGCTGAGGAAGGTTTTCCAGCCAGGAGAAGTGGCCTCTGCCTTCTGCTGCTGCTTCCTGCGCCAGATGTGGCTGCTGGGGCTCCCTGGAGCTGTCCCTGGATCTCTGCCTCTCCCTCCTGTTCCAGCCCAGCTGGCTGTTCCTGGGTGCTGTCAGGCCTCTCTCCTTCCCCCAGTCTGTGGCTGGGAAGCTTTGCACAGCAGGATGCTGAGTCCAGTTGCCATGGCAAAGCGAGGGAGTCGTGGCACGTGGGCCCTGCCTGTGAGCTGCCTGTCACAAATTGTTCCCACAGGTACCCCAGAATCCTCCTGTCTGTCCATGCTGAGTCTTGGATGTTGGTCCTTGCTCTGTCCAAGGCCCAGGCACGTTGTGGGTGATCACACTTCACTGTATCTGCGTCCCACCCACATTACCTGCCCGAGCATCACCTGCTCACTCTGAAAAGATGGATAAAAGAAGTTACCTTCTAGGAAATTAAATTATTTAGTTCCTTACTGGGATTACCCAGTAGTGAATGAAAAGCACTTGTTAGCTCAGTGCCCAGCATTTCAACCCCTCTGCAGAGTTACAGCTCCTTGTTTTGAGCTGACAGGAGTTTCCAGGTCTCTGTGCTGCTGGGGCACAGGAAATGTGGTGGTTGAGGATGGAAACGCTCCATCCTCCTTGGGCTGACAGGACAGGCAGGGGAAACAGGGGCCAGGTCATTGCAGGGGAGATGTGCAGGTGTGTGTGGGACCAGAGCATCCGTCCCTTCTGTGAGAGCTTGGGGGATTTTAACACTAAATACCAGAACTATGAATGTTCAATACCGGAATTAAGGTCTAAATGTGGCTTCATCCTACTGGTTGTTTTCCCTCTTCAGAAACCAGTCTGTGCATGCAGAACTGACCCAAATCTGTCCCTGTTTTCCAGCAGACAGGGGTAAGTCTGTGTTAGGAATCCTTGGAAATTTCCATCGGCGCTGGAGCGTTACGGTAGCGATTTGAAGGGAAACTCTTACTCAACGTGGGCTCTCTGGAGGGGCAGAGGTCACCTCACCTGTGCCACAGCTCCGAGCTGCAAATCATTCTGCCAGTTCTCCTTCAGCCCCAGTTGAGTAATCGTGGGGATTATCTGTCTCCAAGATAAACATGGAAAGATAAGGCAGTGTCAAAGGAATTGCTTTTGCTTCTTTATGGCTCTTTGAAAGAGCTGACCCTGATGCTGGCTCTGCTGGGGTCTTTCCTTGCAGCAGCACGTCCTGCAGCACCAAAATTCTTCCTGATAACTTTTTCATAGCAATCCAGGCAGAATTGGGGCCTTTGAAATGTGCCAGCACTGATCCACAGAGAGCACTTAAGCATTAGGAGAGCATGAAGTGACAGGACACAGGGGAATGGTTTCAAACTGAAAGAGGAGGTTTAGGTTGGATATTATGAAGAAATCCTTCCCTGTGAGGGTGGGGAGGCCCTGGCACAGGTTGCCCAGAGAAGCTGTGGCTGCCCCTGGATCCCTGGAAGTGTCCCAGGCCAGGTTG